ATACTCTATATAACCATGCATACTACCACATTCGATTTATAAAAATCCCACTATAACCAGGAACCACCGCGTACCCGCTGAATGTATGGTGTAAAACAAAACAAAAAAAAACACAAAACGAAAAACACACCACCAAGTAGAGTAAAAGAATAGAAGTCCCGAACCTACCTATGTAACTAAATTACCTTATGCCCTAGCCTACCTACATAATAAATTAATTCTCAATCTTACCTACCTATGTTTCGTTAACTTAACTCAAGACTCATGAAGAAAGAGAAAAAGGAGTAAAACAGAACATAAAATACTACCACACAAACAAACATGACGTATGTATGTATGTATGAGCAACCGCTAAAGAACCCACCTAAAATAAAAAAATACCACCTACAAACATTCAAACCACCTACAAACATGCAAACTCTATATAACTCTATATAATAAAATAAATAAAAATAAAAAAATTATAAAAATAAAATAAATGAGATCAGACAGACTGCTTCAGGCGAGGCAGAATGCCTGATCTGATTTTCTGCTGTCTCAGCTCCTCTATTTATACTCGTTTCAACCATACATTCTCATCATTTCAATCATTCGCATCTTTAAAAAACTTATTTAATGTATGTACTACACTATTATACAGTCTTAACAACAATGCTAACCGTACTAAATTGACGTCATCGAACGAACGCCTTCGAAACTTTTTGATTGGCTGGTTGAATCTGCTATATTGCTTTTAATATAAACATATAATCTTAAATTTGTATACATGGATTCCAGTTATTTATATTCATTATAAAAGCAACAGTGATCAGTGCTACACATGTACGCACGCAGTTCAAATATTTCGGAGAGAATTCAAAATAATTTGAGACCACACCTTGCTTAACATCAGTTGTATTATTTAAATGTTTATATAATTTATTTATATATATATATATATATATATATATATATATATATATATATATATATATATAGACTATTTAACTGAGCCTAGCCGATAAAATTCCAAGCCGAAACTATCCAAGCTGAGTCAATATGCGTAGATTTATAAGCGCTTTTATAATAAAATTTTGCTCGCTTTATATACGAATATCCCCAATATCAATATCAAAGAAATAACGCGAGCGAGTTTAAAAATATTTTATTCAAAATTTAATTAAAATAGAACATACACACAAGTTTTATTCGCCAAGTAATTCCATCCAATTAATTTAAACACGCACACCCTTCAATGGAACTATCTCGCAATCTATTTCTTTTTATGCTCATCAGTTTTCCAGATTTTGAAAAGGCTTGTTCTCTTGGTGTGGATGTTGAAGGGATACATTTCACTAAGTATAAAATACCGCTAGCATGACGTCATTTCCTCCAACGATTCCGTAACAAATTCTTCATCCTATTTTAAAAATTTTCTTAGATGCTTTTTAACCATAGTCAGGTCACAATCATCATCATCGATATGGCGATAAAATAAAATTGAATTTTTTTTAAATTGTTGATAAAAAAAAACTAGTTTAAATTTTTCTGAGAGAATTCAAAATAAATTGAGACTACACCACAACACAATTGTACAATTTGAATGTGCAAATATAACATATCGCACGCAGTTCAAATTTGTCGGGGAGAATTCAAAATAGTTTGAGACCACACCTTGCTTGCTTAACATCCAATTCCAAGCTGAGCCAAGCCAAGCTGAGCCAAATGCGAGCCAAGCAAAGCTGAGCCAAATACGCTTTTATATTAAAATGTATTATAACTACATATATCTATCTATCTTTCTTTATTTAGTTTTACCTGCGTATGATATTTGGTCTAATTTATTTGATAGGAATTGAATATAACCTTTATACCGGCTAATTCACTAACAGGCAGTTAAATAACCACTGTTAACATGACGTCATTGCCCATCCTATTTTATAAGTTTTATTTGATGTTTTTTAATTAGTCAGTCACAGCCATCATCGTCAATATCGCAATGAAATCAAGTTGAGAATTTTTAAAACATTTGAAAAAAGTATCTTTATTCATTTTATGATTCTTTGTTCAATAAGATACTGTTTGATACTGTACTATCAATTAACCAGTCAATCAACAAATAAATCAATTAATCAACCGCTGAATCAAATTAATTGACCAAGCAATCAATCAATCATTTAACTAATCAATCAAACAATCAACTAATCATCCAATAAATTTTGAATTATGTAAGTTGAAATTATTTTTGTCAATTTTAATGAAAATATTGCAATTTTGTAAATAAGCTGACCTATGGCGTTATTAAGAGATAGGCTCGGTAGGTTAGCCACCGTGTTTTCGAAACACGTTATTAAGAGATAGGCTCGGTAGGTTAGCCACCGTGTTTTCGAACCAATACCAACACATCAGCGAGCACGAAGTTAATGAGGTGTTCAATGATAATAACATTTAGAAGAATTCTGCACTTCTACTGTAACAAAAAAATCCTGAATTGATCGTTTTGCAAATCAACTTAACTAAAATACAAAAACAAATAAAAAACCTAATTAATGAATGAATTATGTTAAAGAAGCAAAAAAAGAGAATAAATTATGTTAATTAGCATCGTCGGCCATATCGTGCTGATCAAAATAATTAGTTATCAGACAAATAATAAGATTCAGACCTATAATTTTACTTTCATAATCGTCATCATCATAATTGATGTCTATATTAATATTATCACTATCATCATTGTTAACATTATTAATAGTATTAGCAGTAGTAGTGGTAGCAGTAGCAGTAGTAGTAGCAGTAGTAGTAGTAGCAGTAGTAGTAGTAGTAGCAGTAGTAGTAGCAGTAGTAGAAGTGTTCTCAGGTTCATGTTTGCTATTGTTATTATCATTCCTATGCTGCTTTCGTTTCTTTTTACTACTACTACTGCTATCATTATCATTAGTAGTAGCA